CTGGACTCGGTGGACCCTGAGACATTCAGAGCAGGGCGACAAAACTGGGCCACTGAGCTCAAGACTGTGCTGTGGAACCGGGGAGGGGGGGTGAGAGAGCAAGAGCACAAATAGCTTGGAAATCTTTGTTCCAAATTTTCATGCCTTGCAAAGATGCCCACGCTCAGGCTCACTGGTGCTCCGCAAGTTGCTGCGAAGTGCACAGGGGGAGAAAGCTATAACTTCAGAGGCATGCGTCATTGCAGATCATTAGAGCATCTACTGTCTCCTGAATCCTTTTCGCAGCATAGGTTCTCGCAGTGCAAGGAAATATTTAACAAATGCCCGCAGTGTGCACTCCCATCTCATATCCGTTTCCTGCACAGGCTTTGGCGCAAGGATCAGACTGCATGAGCCTCAGCCAGGCATGTAAGCTGTGTGAAAGCGCTGCAGCGGTACCCCACCAGCAGCTTGGTAAGGCCCGGCACCCGTCTCTGAACTGTCACTCTCTCCCAGGCTAGAGCCTGTGAGGTAGGCACCTTCTACAGGCAGCATGCAGCTAGAAATGCGCTTCGAGCGTAACTCTGCAAGCCACAAACTCATGGCACCTCAGACTGGTCTCCTGAAATTTCACCACTCGTCGCTGGAAGCCTTGAGTTGCAAAAGATGGCTGACGCACGGGGTTTAGACTGTTTGCCAAGGTGCGAGTTTGGAGCCTCCACAGCGAGTCCGCGCCCCTTGGTGTCGCGTTCTCGGCGTGGGTTGGCGAAGGACACATGCTGCCTACGTAAGTTCTGGCCGGCTGCAGAGAATGTCGGGGTCGGCTGCGGGCCGGCTTCCCCTTGCCTCAGCAGCCCAGGCACGATCTTTACAGACTCACATGCGCCACAGACCGGAAGGCCGAAGCCAAGATGCCCATCGCTTGGGCCGCTTGGGCATGCCACGTCCCTTCCTTTCCCCTCTTTGGGTCGTTCTGTGGGTGCTGGCTGCTGCGCAGGAGCCGGCCGGTATGAAAGCGGTCCTGGGGGAGATCGCTGAGTTTGCTCCTGGATTGCTGGCCGGTGTGGTGCCGGTGACACTGCCACGCGACGCGGGGTTAGAAGCGCCGGGCTTGAGATGGTTGAAGAAGTCACAGACGCCACGTTCTGAAGCTGTGATTGAGACGGCTGCCACTGGAACGAGAACGGCGTGGCCCGAGGGGTTTGTGGGAGCTGTCGTAGTGGTGTGACAAGCCGCGCATACTGTGGAGGAGCCTTGGCCGCCGAGAGTGCCGCCGGTCCAGGTGGCTGCTTAGGTGGCGACTGACGAGCCGTGTTCAAGGACTGGGTCACCGCCACCTGTCACTGCACACACCGCATTCAGGTGCATTCGCCACACAGACGCTATCCGTTTTAGAGCCCCCTTCGACTTCCAAGACACAGCCCCTCGCTGCGATACCCTGTGCAAAGCTCAGATGCCTGAGGCCATCGGAGTCCGAGTCCCATTGGCACAGGCTGCCAGACCAAAGGCACGCTGGCACTTGTTGTCGCTGCGGAACCCGCAGGGCCACTGCTCGGAGAATAACTTGGTATACTTGACGCGAAGCTTCTTGGCAAAGCCGGAGCCCGACCAAGCGATGGAGGCGATCTGTCCCGGATATGTGGCGGCGGGCCAGTTTTGACCAGCCTGAAACATGCACATATGCTTCTATCGGATGCTAAGTATCGGAGCTTTAATGACCAATGTCCAATATTCGATCTCACGTGGTTTCGTGCATCCGCTCCTGGGTGTTGGCGTTGGTGAAAGGGAAGGGCCCCGGTTCGATGGTGACACGGTCCGCGGAGAATTGGTGTGTTCTGGCGAAGCCAAGGGCCCCGTACCGGCAGCAAGGCCCGACTGCATCGAGCCCGGCCGGCGCAGCGGGAGCTGCGGGATGCGTTCCTGCCGGAGTCTGCAGATCTCCCAGGCAGAGTCCTGGGCTTCCCCGCCTTCGAGGCGCTGCCAGCCACCACGGCCACAAGCCGCGATCCGCCAGACACTGCCAAGGACGGAGCTGGCACCGGGGCGCTTCCCTGGTCGGCTCTCAAAAACTCGACAGAAGTCGCCATGCTCGCAAGAAATCCACCAGGAGATCTCCAGGCTCCAAGCCGACATCTTTAAACGAAGCTCAAGAACCCCTAGCTCACCAGCTTGCCACTTCAGGCCCTAGGTGTTCAGCACATTCCGCCTGGGCCTGAACGATGCTGGCCATCACCCGCGGCTCCTGCGTCAGATCGGGATGCTGTGCTCTCTGACATCAACCTCTGCACGAAATCTCTATGACAACTCCAGAACACTCGACTCACCCTGGTCTCCGTGATCTGACCATGGACGCGCTCTCCCGCGCCAGCAGTCCTTGGGCTGTGCCGATCTGCTCTCGAGCAGCTTCCTAGCGAGAAGAGCTGGCCTAGTACCTCAACGTACACGCAATCAGTCGAAGGCACTTGAGATCCGTTTCGTCCGCCTGCCGGAAAGTGGCTGCGTGCTGAGCACAGTGCCGTACAAGAAGCAAGAAGCATAGCCTTGCTTTTGCCATCTGCCGGGGGGGCTTCCACCGGAATAGTGACTCCAGGTGCAGGCGCTCCTGCGGAAGGGAGCCCTAAGCTTTCCCAACCTGCTCATTTGGGACGACAACTCCGAAGGTAAGCTTGCGGAAGCTTAGAGCTCCTGCCAAGTCTGCGACGGTCACTTCGGCAAGGTCCGCTTCCTCCTGAAGCCATCCCACACGTGCAACAGCCCAGGAGTGAGCACCCCGTCGAGATGTCAGAATTCAAAACAAACATGTGGACAGACACATGTCAGGTGCTCCTCTTGCCTGCCTAGCTGGCTTGTCCGCAGCGCTGTCATCTCTGCATCTTTTTCGGCAACCACCCTGGCAATGTATGCGGATGCGAAAAGAGCCTCGAAAAGATGGGACATGCTGTGAAAAGTCGAAAGTACCGCCAAATGCGAAATGTCGAAAAGTGGAAAGTCGTAATCATTGAGGCAAAAGCTCAACAAGTCCGGTGAAAAGTCTGTAAAAGTCTACATCTGGGACCCGACAACTCAGCCAAAAGTTATCTATGCTTTGGCTACTTATTGGCTGGGTGAAACCCGAAATGGGTTGCAACTCAGACAACTTTGCCATTTGGGTGTTCCCCAGACACCCAATATGGGTTCCCCAAACCCGGAAAAATGGGCAAAATACCTATGGGTTTGCTCATTTTAGATCTTATCAGGTCTTGAGGATGCCACAAATGTCAAAGCCACTAAAAGTTGTCAATTACTTGGCGCACACAAGGTTCTTGCGTCGCCAAAATCTTGTGTCTTGGTGGTGCTCTCGGGCAAGCGAAGTGGTCAAATATCAATGGAATTTGGCCACAGGGTTCCGCAACCCGAAAATGTGAGAGCATGCCAATTGCTTCGTTCATCTTACTCGCTTTGAAGATACCAAACATCAAGACATAATGACTGTATTGAAATTTGCCATTCGACACGGTTAAAAATGTGCTCCCCAACCCGTTAGCAATAAGCCGAAAATTAAAACAAAGCAAGCAACGCCTGTGTGTCTGCGACTTGCGGGTGCTTTGAAACGGGCCCAAATGGACAACAAATCTTGAAATTTGCAATTTGTCAGCTCAACGGACCCGAAAAGCAGCGAAAATGTTTATGTTTTATAGCTACTTTAGTAGAAAGGGCCAAACATGTGAAATCATTGAGAGCACGTTTGAAGAGGTCGCCTAGCCCCAGAACTCAGCCAAAATACCTGTGTTTGTGCTGCGTTCTGGCTGCTTGGGCGGAACCCGAAATGGAGTCAAATTGAGTAAACATTTGCCATTTGGTGGAAACCGCTTGCCAGGTAGAAACTGCTGAAAGCTATTGCCACGCTGAAACACTACGAGAACGCAACTTCTGCTGCCTCAGGCCTGCCCCCTTCCCAGCCCTGTGGGCCTACCCACAGGCCTGTCTTTAGCAGAGCTAGCACCTCACGAGCCCAGCCCCAGCAAAGCCCTAGCCCAATCAAACCTACCCCGGCCAGCCCTCCAAGCCCAGGCCCACCCCACCCAACCGAATGTTTTGGGGGTTAGGGTTAGGTTAACCCCAAACCCAACCCTGTCCGGAGGTACATGAAATGTACATGTAGTTGGTGTCAAGATCACGCCCGAAGGACACGAAGATAATGAACAGCCACGTTCTCGCTTGGGCGGGTAGCAAGCCAAGAAAACAAAGCTTCCCCACTTAAGTCCCCCCCTTAAGCCTTAAGCCCCTTACCCCTTCCCAACAAGGACTCAGAGATCGGAGCCTCTGCAAGTTGAAAGTCGAAAACTTTGTCGACTTCTTGACGTTTCGATTCGGTTCTCGGTTGTCCGCTTGTCGAAACTACCTTTTGCTTGCTGCACGAGCATAGCCGATCATAAACTTACATACACATGCACACAGGGGATGACAGATGGTGGGATGCGGCATGTGCAGAAACGAGGAAGCGAAGGTGAAAGTGTGTGAAATGACTGCTGCCTCTTGAGCTCCACAAGCTGCTTCTCCCAGTGCTGCTGTGAGGCAGCCTGGGCCGAAGTGACCCGAAAAAGTACAGATTTCAGTTCTCCGATGGATATCCCTCGCCTTTTCTGACGCGGATGTGGAAAGCTGAAGCTGCAAGCTCTGGATCCTGGGATGGTGTTGCAGTCAACTCAAGGCAAGTATCACGCAACAGAGCGCAACATTAACAGAAGCAGAGTGTCTCGGAGAGCTGATCGCTTTCCCGGCACTCTGCCGCCTTCAGCCTCTCCTGCAAACAAGATGAACTCACCCTCGAGATGTCGGGCCGGGTCGAAACGGCTCCTGCAGATTGCCGGGCTGCTCAGCAATGCTCGCCTGACAAGGCTTCGGTGTTGCGTGGTGCCTGCAGGACTCTGCGAAGGACCTTGAGGTGTGCGACGGTCGCTTGAAGCAGAGCAATCTGGTCCTCAAGAGCCTCCAACGGTCCGACTTGCTCCAAGCAGGCTTGGAGCCAAGCACCCAAGCACCTACACCGGCAGCGGCAGGCGCGCCTTCAAGTCATTGCTCTTGCCCTCCAGCATCTGCTGCTGTGCCGCAAGTGTTTGATCTTTTGATGCCACCGCCTCCTGTCAGGACGGTCAGGTGTTGATCAAATGTCGAGCTTCCGAAAATGATGACGGCAGCACAAGATGTTTTGAGATAGCTAGCCCCCTCTAGTATTCACGGACGAGGCCATGAACAAAGCTTTGACGGAAACGGCCGCCTGCAGCTCGAGGATGTGCTCACGCAGCTCCGCTACTTCCTTGCAAGGCCCAAGGCCCAAGGACAGCTGACGCTTTGGGTCTGCTTGGTGCATAACTGCACACAAGAACTTGTCTTGTAGTCGTACTGCGGGCTCGTGTCCAGGCTCTGTGTGGGCGTCACCTGGCTATCAGCCTGCAGGTCACCTGGCTGCTCCGCTGAGGCCATGGAATCCACCAGATCCGCTTCCGGCGCTGCCGCCGCTTCCGCCGCTTCCGGGCGGATGTCAGCCTGGACCGGAAGGGCCAAATGAGTCGGCGAGTCAGGAAACTCATCGCAGAACCGCAGAAAACCTTTCCAGTAGATCCTGGTCCTCCGCTCTCGAGTATCCCTCGAAGTCTACCATCGATTCTGCCTGAGAATCGTTGGAATTGCAAGTCATGCCCTCGGCAGTGACCCCGTCGCTATGGCTATGTTCCTCCTGGCACGGCAGTCAGAGGAAGCACACACAGAAACAGCATTCTGAATGCTGTTTAGTTTTCCCAGGTTGAACAGTATCTGCTGAGGGTTCTGGTGTCTCAGCCGTCGCAGAAGTGTGGATTCGATGGACTGGGTGACTGGGTTTGACCGACTTACACATTGCTCTCCATCCGTGGCCCAGCCTAAAAAGTTTTTAAAAAGCACCATGTCTCTGACGGTCTTCGCCTAATCGCTCCAACTCTTAGGGCACATCAGCTGCTCTGCAGCTGTCCTTCACCACACCAGGCTTTGCTTCTGTGGCCACATCGGTCAGGACTGCGCTTGAAACTCCGTCCATGCTGCCCGTCGTTCCTACCACCTGGCGAACAAATACTGCACGGATGCATGATCCCTGAAAAGAGATTCGAGGCGTGCAAACCTGACAGATCTCACTTACGTTTGTTCCAGCATCGGCAAGTCGCCTGTGCTGGACAGTGCAGATCCGAATCCTTCGGCTCTGGAGCTTCAAGTTGACTGATCTGCTCTTGCTTCGTCCCTGGCTCCTGGACACATGGTGCGATGTGTCGCACAAATGCTTGTCAACTGCAACATGCATACAGCCAGAGTCAGCCAAGCAGATGCCTGGAAGGGCCTGGCACTTCCTGCATGCCGACATGCTATGCACAAGCTCCTCAGCAGCAGCTGCAACAGCGTCGGTGCTCGAGTAGTCCGCCTGCAGCTGGCGTCTACGTGCGCTTGTGCCATCGTTCTCAGTGAACCTCCGGCTGCTGGGGTCCGCCGTTCAAACCTTCGGCTGTGCTCTGCTCGCGGCCTCTGAGACGGTTCCTGGAAGCTCCGCCAGAACCTTCTCCTGGCCCAACTCACGCAGCCCTGGCAAGTCAAGTCCATCGGATGACCCTCCGGCCTCGGGCTGCGTCGGCTGCGTGAGCTCGAAGACTTTCTCGTGGACTGCGTCGACGAACGCGTCGGCCACAGGCTCTGCCGAAGGCTCTGCCAGAGGCTCGCCTTTCGGCGAGCCACAGGGCACTGGGGACTGCATTGGCACAACGTCCTGCAGACAAGAGCTTTCTGGCGGCGCTTGTTGCATGCCTTGCTCACAAGTTCATGCCTCATCGTCGTATGGGCGCGCGCCCATCCATGAACCTCTGTCATGCATGCGTAGGCCCAGCACAGGTGTTGCCCTGCAGCCATTGCGTATACACCTAGACCACGCAGTACCTTGCGACGCATGATCCGTCGAGATGGGAAGAAAGGAAGGAGGGTCGTCATCATGCTTCTCCTTGGACAAGCTTGCAGCAAGAAGCTGGCTGGGGGATTGCAGACTCAGACAAGCATCTTCTGGATCTCGCTCCACATTGCCGGCGTCGGCCAAGGAAAGATCGGGTGGAGGGCATGAGAAGATGATGGAGTCCTGCGTGGTGAAGCGGTGCATGTGTTGTCCTTTCTGGCCATGAACCGTCATCAGACGTCGAACCGAACGCGTCCTCCGAAAATGGATCTTCTGAGAATTCCCCATAATTCGCGACATTCGCCCTCAGCAAAATATCTTCACCCAACACCCAGCTAATTCAGCATGCAAGGCACCAAGCAGGCGGCCTCGGGTGAAACTGCCACGTGACAAGCCAAGGAGCACAAGCATTTCCGCAGGATTCTCCTTGGCGGGCTCTTCTGTGCCCTTGTGGGTCATCGGTGCCTCAGGTCGAGTCAGCGCGGCAACTGGCACCGAGTCGCATGAGCTGCAAAGTGCAAGGAGACTGGCCTCCTCCTCCGCAGTGATGCTGGCGGAGCCGCGGAGCATTTCGATCTCTGCAACCAGCTGCTCCTTAAAGTACCCTGATGTACCATGTACTCAGGCACAGATTGCGGCGTCTTAGGCGCAGCCAGGGCTCTAGTTGCCGCATCCTAGGATTGTTCGCCATACTCATCAGTCCACTGCGGCCATGCGGCTCCGCATTTCTTAACAGGAGTGGGATGCCAACAGCTTCGCATGAAAGAGATAGCTGCAAATCAGAAGCTTCTTGACCGGACTATGTGAAAAAAAAAGCGTCGCCCTGGGGCTTTACACGTACTTGACACGTTTTGATCTGTCAACATGGGTTGATTCGCGGCTCAATGCTTGAGAGCAACCAGCCATGGCAACTGCTAGACTCCAAACAGGTGGCCAGTTTGCAGTGACCGAGGCAGACCGCGCCTAAGGAAGTTATTTCAGCGGCTTCATCTGCAGCAGCAAGTGCACTCGTCTGTGCCAATTCCTTGACCTCAGTAGCTCGCTGCATGTCTGCCATATGTCTGGTAGACATGCAAAGCATCTCAAGCCCGCAGCAGCAGCTTTCAGAAGCTTCATCTTTGGTGGTTGCGGCAATGAGCCTCCATCGGCATGAACGTCGTTACTTTTGCGCTGCCACATGCATGGCCTATGAGCGACCGAGCTGAACGCAAATCTAGAGGACAGTCCCTGCACAGGGCATAACCCAAGGTATCGCAAGGTGAAATCACAGCTGGAAGGACACCCTTTGATGCACAGGGCCCACACGGCGAAAATTTTGCTGCTGCTTTCTGTAACACCTGCAGCCACCATCCTAAACCGCTCAGTCAGGCAACGGGCACCTTCTACAAATGATGCTGCTTCTTCTGCAACGCGGTGCTCGAAAAGGATCACCATTGTTCTGGAGCACAGCTTTGATGAAGCTAACATGTCTCGCAACTCTCAGCCTGCGAAAGCTTCTTCGCCCTAAGGAACAGCTTCGCAGTTGAAGTCCGCAAAATCTCCGGCGTGTCGAATTCTGGCATCTTCTCCTAAGCAGGATCGAGATGGCATCTCAAAGCAGGCCGCCGAAACGGGACCCTTCGCCTCGAAGAAGCTTCGAGTGACGAGCCGAATCGCAATCCCCGGCCTCTGGGACCAAATAACTACAGGATAAACACGACTTTACAAGCTGAAGAATCTGTTTTGGATTTGCTGTGGTCTGAAGCGACCTAAGCTACCCGCTGCGTTCGGCCGGCGCGACCTGACCGTTGCCTTGCATAGTCGACAGCGCCGCGCATTCATGTTTTGTCTGTCTCTCGCTCCCCATCTACATGTATTTATTTGATTCTTTCGATACTTAACTATGATACTATTTACTTGTGTAGTTCTTGATGAATTTCTTTGTTTTTTCTGTCCTTGCCTATGTATCTATTTCTTTGTTCTGGCGCTCTTTCTTTATTTATTTCTTTCTTTCTTTCGTTCTTCATGTCTTTCCGTCTGTCTTTCTTGCTTTCGTTCTTTCTTTCCTTCAAGAGACTACCTTCTCTCTCTCCCCCCCGCAAAGGGCCACTGCCGAGCACACTTTTTCGAAGGAGAACGCGGCGGATGACGTGAGCCAAAATAGCTACGGTCTCTCTTTTTGTTTCGTAAGGTGATAAGAGGTGGGGGCGGTCTCTCTCTCTTTCGCTCTGCCTTTCTCTCTTTCGCTTGCTCGCTCGCTCACTCTCCCTCTCGCACCTGAGCACCGTGCCGAGCAGATGCTTGGGAGCACCAAGAGGTTGTCAGGCAGGTCAAGCCTTGATTGTGGTCGTAAACCTGCCACAAACGCTCTGCAAATAACGAGGTTGCCAAATGCTAACAGAAGATGTTCGTTGGTCGGTAAGTGGCAAGCCCGACCGAAAAAAGGAGATCTTGGTTGGCGAATTCTAAACCCTAGAAGAGGATGCTAGTCCCAGAGAAGCGCACCCTGCAAGCAGAGATGCTGTCTCCCAACACCCCAAAAAAGCAAGCCCTACACCGAAAGAAGATGTTCGGAAACCCCAACCGCAAGAGATGACGGTGTCTCGCAAACCCTGGACCCTAAAACACAAAGGGCCAAACCGTAAAAGAAGATGTTGACAGGCAAAACCGCAAACCCTAAAGGCTGTCCAAAGCCCCAAGGGAACAGGATGGGTGGCAAACCCTAAAACCAAAGAGGAAATGACGGAACAAACCCGACACCGTGAAAGAAGACTATTGCTAGCAAAGCTCGAAACGCGAAAGAGGGATGGCTCGTTTCCCAAAACTTCATCGACGATTGGAAACCCAGGACCGGGAAGGATCCCTGCCATGGTTCCCCCCCCCCTCCACGTACCCCGAACCGCAAAGATGATGGCTGGCATCCATGGAAGAAAATTTCGGCCGGTCATGCCAAAAGTCATTGTATAGAACCGTCCATGCACCGACTCGTTTGAACAACTCAAGCCCAGAGGGTAGGAGATTATTTCTTTGCCAATCCAAGACGCTACGAGGCAGACACTAAATCCGCTACAAGGGTGACTACAGGTTGAAGAATTTGCCAACCCTGAACTCTCAAAGATGGGTGGCAAACCCATTGGCAGGGGGCACGAGCTCCCAAAAGCCCAAAGCCGAAAATAGGATATGGGCCGCGCAGGGCTGCTGCGGCAACGGGGCCACGACAACCGGCCGCGGAATGTGGGTGGTGGGCTGCAGACCACGGGCCGCGTGGGCTGCGGCAACTAATACTAGTGTGGTAAAATGAATACGCGCCCTTCACACCTTACATGTCCTGTGAGAAATGCTTGTGCCTCGTGCATCCGTTGCAGACAATTCCCACCGCCCGCACTGAACTTCCAGGTAGTTCGACTAATGCGGATATTCATCCCTTTTCTCTCCTGCGGAATGTGCAACGCTTTTGTCGATCGCTGTTTCTCGGTCAGCGCGACATGTGCTGAGCTGTGTTGAATTCTGGGCTTGGGTTCCTTAGAAAGTATGGTTTCTGCATCCGCCGCTGTCGTCGACCAGCTTCTTCCCCAGTGGAGTTCCAAGCTATTTACGCCATGACATTCGGGTCTGGGTTGCGGCGCGGCAAAGACTACTATCACCACACTCGAACCCGTTACGGTCAGGGACACAAGATTCAGATCTGTCAACTTGGCGGTGTGACGGGCTCTCTGCGAAGCGCGAAGTCGATGACAGCCGTTACCCTGGGCCTCAGCTGTTCGGTGGTCAGACCTAGATAACGCAACCGGCCGGCTGCATCTGCAGGCTGATGTCGGAACACCTTTTTCACGCGAATTCAGCATGAGGAATCTCAATGCCTAGCTGCATCAAGCAGTCGTTGCAGTGCCACATCCTTGGCACGGAGCTGGTTCATCCTAAACGACATCAACAAACCTAGAAACTCGTTAGGGTCACAGAATACAGCAAGGAAAGTGCAAGAATCGACTAGCTTAGTCTTCGAAGGTGAAAAGACTGAAAGACTCAACTACCTGAATCTTCGAGGCGCTTGGTCACCTTCTCCACCCTGCCCAGAATCCAGGGGTGAAAATTGCCGCAGAAGCAGCACTTCAGCACCTCCGCATGTTCTGAAACGTCGAAGCCAAGACATCGCATGCGGGGAAACATCGGCATGTCCAACCTTCGGAGAGAATTTGAGCCAGCAGTCCTGCACTCTGCTAATAGGCTGCGCAGCTTCTTCTTCCCTGCCCACCTCCATAAACAGGCAATCCCAGCCTCAACACCTCGCATCCAGCTACCTGCTAAGGTTGAAACAGCAGAGCTGTGACCCACATGAAGGGATGTGCTCCTCGCAGAAGAACCTGGGTATGGGTGGCAAAGCAATATGAACATCAAGCACATGCGTGAAAAGCCAGCAATATGCAGAAGCAATGCATGCCGTACCCTCGAGTGCCACTTCAGTGCTCACGCAACCGAAGATGCATGCACAACGGTAATGACCGGACACGAAAGGACAAAAAACTGGTACTTGGTATTCGCAGCTGAGTGCCATCCCTTAGTGCGATCACAAGAACTGGGGTGCCAGCTCTTCAACGTCTGGGTCCAGCCACCCAGCTGCCGATTTTTGGCACTCTGTGCAACTCCCATCGACACTTCCGACTTTTTGTGTGGCAAGCTCCTCCTGCACAGCGACGGAGGCTCAAAGAGGTAGCCATTTCCGATCCCCGCAGATCACCAGCCTGCGAAAAGTTATCGAGGAGCTTGTCCATCCGCGATTGCAGCACCTGATTGCAAGAGCCCGACATGCAGTACAACGCAGTGCAGCGTGGAAGCGCATGGGATCAGCTTGCGCATCACCTGCTCGTGGATCGCCGTTGCGATGCGGGCGGCCGAGCCTCTCACCTGGCCCACCGTGGGCTTCAGCCAGCCGTCCAGTATGACGTGCCGGTGCAACGAGGGTAAACTTACCTCAACGACAGAGAAGGTTCATTGACGAGAGTACGCGCTTGCACTGATTGGACCTTGCCACGTGTGCGCAGCTCTTCCTCCACACGCCGTAGCATGTGAACCACCTGCAGCTCTCGGGCTTCAGACTGTCAGCTTTGTGATGTCACAGTGCCAAGATCCCAGCCTGCGATCCCGTCATCCACAGCTTGCCCATCTTCAGAGGGACGGCAGCATTCCGCATTGCTCCGTGGAAGGATTCCCACTTGTCCTACGGAGAAAACTTTTGAATATCCAGGAACATAACTTCTCATAAGCCTCACAGCAGACACCTTTGCCATTTTTCGGTGACACGTTGCCGTCCTCAAAATCACTTTTATTGTCCACAGGGATGGTGAAAAACTGTCGCCGATGTTCCGGGTACGCGTTGCTGATGAGGGTGCGGATCTCCTGGAGATGCTCTATAGGCCCTTTGCATGGCACCTGGCATCTGCCCTAGTTCTGCGTCCTTCCGTTCTGCTCCATGATCAGCCGCCAAGATCTTTTCCAACGCATCTTCTCCATATCTTAGCCTGCCGAGACAACTTAGAAAACCCTGCGCACGAACTCAGATCGGGATGTGTGACAGTGGCCTGCCTGTTTTGATTCACGACGAAGAGCAGAGTCTGCGCCTTCACTGCCAGCAGGAAGCAAGTGCAGACAAAGCAGGCGAACAGAGACAGGGGTCCTGCAAGGAGCCCGTGCCATCGCACTTGATGAGGGCCCGCTCCTCTCAGGCAAAAACAGAGATGCAGAAAGGCTTCGGCCCGGCCCGCCCGGCCTCCAGCATGCGGCCCAGCGCCTCCACGGCCGCCTCCGAGGCCTTGCCGTCGGTGACGAAGATCAGCGCGGTGGCAAAGAGCGCTCCAACCTGAAGACCAAAAGCTCCCCCTCCGCGCCATGGACCCCCCTCGCAGCCCCGCCAGCCCCGCCATCCGCGCATCGAGGGGCGACCGTCACGATGGAATGGCTCTTGGACATGGCATTGTTACCGCCCTCGCAATCAAGAATGAGAAGATGTCCGGGATGACAGGACATCGTGGCAATATCAATGCCTCAGCAACGTGTAGGAGAGAGAAAGAGTATATCTTGCAAACTGCCCACTACAACTAGGACCAGTGCCTTCAGTGACAGCCTCCTCGGAGTCATCTTCCCGGAAGGTTCCTGCACCGACCTCGGCTGCACCGCCCCTGGTGCTTCAGTTTGGCTCTCCTAGAGCTTTGCTACGGTCAGTAATGAGTTACTGCGGATATGGAGCCTACAACGATGCTTGACATAAGTGGCCGCCATCAGTTCACTACCGACCCTCGCCTTGTGGGTTGCCCTGGTCGCCGTCCATCAAACTCTGCAGAGAGCCGGATCTAAGTGGGTGCTGAAGGGTTCAAGGTCAATAATGCTCCGCCGAGCTGCTAGCTTGGACGCCAGGAAGGATTTTCCACTGCGCCCGTCACCAACAAAAGCAATGGGACAAACAGGTCCAGGAAGAGCCTCCAACACCTCGAGCAAGCTGTTCATGCCCTAATGGCGTCAATATGAGTATAACCCAAATTCTTGCAAACGAGGGACAGCGAGCCCTTCCTCGCACAGCTTTGGACGCTCGTTCTCGAATTTCAACAGCGGGGCGGACCTTTCCACTCTGCTATCCCTCTACCCTTTGTTGTTCCGGGATAGAGGGTGGAAAGGCCGCTGAGGCCGTGACTGCATTGGTGAGAGGCGCGCACTGCGCCATGGGTGCTGATGTTCCGGAAAGCACTTTCCAGAGAGATCATCTGTCTTCGGGGTCTCGGGTGGGAATCAAGCTGAGCGATGTGAAGGCTTCAGAGTTCTGCTTGTTTGTGTATATCGTGTCTTGAGCTTGGTGGAAGCTTCGGTGCGCGCGCAATGCAATCCGTGCGTTGGATTCATTTCCAGCAAAAGACGGCAGAATCGAGCAAAGGGAAAGGGTCATAAGGACCTGAATCGCCCTGAGCAACCAGCAAAGTGATCGATGACTCCGCGATGTTGGAAGCGAGTACGATGTGGCACTTGCCATCTGCGGCGAAGACCCCGTCGGATTGCTCTCTGAGCACATGGTGGCTTCCGTCCTGATGGTTGCTGGAAGACTCGTTCCTGCTCCGAGCGGGGAACCTCGCGGAATCCGAAAGCACGCTCCGGCGTTACGGCGCTACCGGACAAAGAAAGTATGGGTGCTGCGGCCCTGGCCATAGAGTGCAAGACGAAGACTTCGTAGTTGGAGGGAGAGGTTTTCCTCGGCGTCAGAGCACTGCGCACCGCTGCCAGTAGCCTTTTCAAGCACCAGTGCAGCTCGCCTGTGCAAGGTCGGGAATGACTTCAAGGCCTGTAGGGACGGCTTGCATAGCTGCGTCCGCTAGCTGCAAGCAACAGAGCCACCCAAAACACAGGGCCAGGCCTCCGGCGTGAACATCTTGGACAAATTGCTGAGCTCAAGCAACCTCGAGCACACGTGGAACTCTCACATCTCGAGGCAACTTACTGATTTCTGAAGGTACTCTTCATTTAAGCCCGTCCCCCACACCGCACCCGGGCATGAAGACGAGCAGGGTCGAGTCCTTCTTGGCAAAGAAGGGCACGAGCTGCACGGCCTTGGGAGAAGCCGGCGACGGCATTCCACAGCATGCCACAGCTCTATATGTCCGCGGGCCAAAGCGGGTAGCTTCTCCAGGATGGAAGGTGACTCCAGGTCGCCGTCCTCGGCTCTCTGCCACGATACAAAGAGCCCTGGTGCCCGGCGCCTCTCACGGCGCTCAGGGGAGGCCTGGCCTCCCAAGCCCTCTGAAACTCTTCCGCTGCTGTCTGTCGAACAGCTTCACAGCAGACAGCACCGACAGGACATGGGCACCTCGACCAAGGAGTACACGGTGCCGGGGAGAAGATCTTGGTAGTCAGACACGAGGTCGTCCTGCAAAATCAAAGAAGACTCTCTTCAAGCCTGTGTCGGCACTGGACAGAGACCCTTTCGAGGTGACATTTGCAGTACGCACTCGTCAGGGATTGTCTGGCATTGCGGCACGGCTCGGAGTCCAAGGCAACGGCCTCGGGCTCCGAGTACAAGCCATGGCGTCCTTTGGCCTTGCCACGACATCTGCCCGACCAGACTGACGTTTCGTACCCGGCCCTCAGGGCAGAAGGGTACTGAGTGTGTCGGGTCTCCACTCCTCTCTTCCGAAAGGAGCTCCAAAAGCCAGCAGCGAATTAGAGTCATAGCTTGGCACATAGGTGTACCCTCCGGCCCTCGCTGCATATCGCCCGCCTATCACTTCAGATGCTACACAAGCCAGTTCCGGACTGTCGGGTACAGAGATGTTGATGATTGCCACAGATTTGCCATCTAAGCAAGGCACGTATGCCTCGTCCCCGTCAACTGTGACTGAATAGGCTCCGTATAGATGCTGCTTATCTTTGATGGCACCCAGCAGTATGGGCGCCTGGGGATCGGATATGTTGATAACGGCTAAGGAATGGGAGTAGTAGCCAGCAACATAGGCAAAGTCGCCTTGAGCGGCAATGCCATAAGCGCCATCCAAGTACGTCGCGTCCTGGACGGCGGATATAACTACAGGCCGCGTCGGCAAGGAGATGTTCACTGCGGCTAAACCACTCGAGTCAGCTCCTACCACCCATGCAATGTCTCCCAGAAGTAGCAAGTCACCAGCACCTTTCAAGCGCTCATCGACGACTTTCCCAATGATGCGTGGCTGGCTCGGCGTGGACACGTTGATAACCAGCAGGGCAGCTGAATCATATGAGAGAGTATAGACCAACTCACCATCACATGCAACGCTGTATGAATACGGATACTCAGAGGACTCGTCCAAAATGCCGACGATTTGGGGTCTCTGGGGGTCCGAAATGTTAACGACAGCCAACGTGGATAGCTCGAGTGCCACAAAGGCCAAGTCGCCCTCGAGTGCCAAGCCAGTTGGGCCCAGGAGGTCTTTGTCACTTTGCACAGAACCCACCAACTCTAATCGCAGAGGATCGGAGATGTTAACCACCACAAGTTCATTTGACAAATAGCCTGTCAGGTATGCAAGGTCATGCCGCACCTTCACTGCCCAGGCCCCAGCCGTGACAGCCAAGCTAGATTCGTTCACTAAACAAACGTCGACAGCCAAAGCCGTCGAAAACAGTAAGAAGATGAGCCTTGCTAGTGACCGGCATGCAGCCATGTCTCCTCACATTGCCACTGCATGTGTCGGCCGACGACACCTACCTGCAACTTAGCTTGAGCCGGACGGAGTATACCAAACTCCTCATTCCAACCGAATTCTGCATGACGTAAGTACGACCTGCAACGGCTGCTCGGCTTTGTAGAGCGAGCAAACTCGGTCCAAGAAGATCTCCTGCACCGGGAATGTCCTCCCCGACCTTGCAGAGGAATTGTGTTTACACTACGAGTGCCGGCCCGCGGCGGGCCACTTTGAGGACCGAGCACGGACAGGGACTGCCCTGTCTGCACAAAGTCAGAGAAGTAGTTGCCTCAGATTTAGGGCCAGCTGGCCTCAATTGAGAGCAGACACTCGGCTCCCAGATTTAGGTTTAAGCTGACATTCCATTAGGAGGCGAGCTCATTAGGGACTGGATTAGGTTAGGGGATTTTTTGGTGCTTCGTTTTTTGGATTTATTTTTGATTGTATTGGGGCTTTTGTTGTGGGTTCTGGGTGATGGCTTTGTTTGTGCTTGCCTTTTCGCTGCAAAGCCCAATCCTGCTTTGCACTGGCTTCATCAGCTGAATTCGCACGTCTGTTCACTGGATCGAGATTCACCCGAATTGCAGCTGGACTGCCGAATTCCTCTGGTTGGAGAGTAGCCGACATCAAGACAACCTGCCCAGTGTACAGTATTGCCCAGTATGTCAGAAAGGTCAACGATGCAGAAGCATGCTGTGACCAACCGGACAGGTTTTCCAAATCGTGCGTGCGTGCGTGCGTGCGTG